CCTAAACCCTAGATTCCCACCCAGGCCTGCTTAGGCCGTACCCACCCTTTTCCAGGGTGCCTGGACCCAAAGAGTGATTGAGAGTGTGAGCGCCTCCAGGTGCTGCGGCTTCCCCTGGAGGTGGCCTGGAAAATGCTGAAATTTAATTAGGGCCCAAACCCACTACCAAACCCAGCGTCCGAAGCTCCTCGGCCCTTGGAGGCACTTGGAGGACCCACCTGCGGCGGGCCTATTGTTGTATTCAAGAGTTTGGAGACAAGTTGGAATTTAGGGCGTCAGCCCGAAACCCGAAAAGGAATAAAGTTGCGTGGATGCCTCCACAAGACCAACTCTTGGTTTGTTGGGCACGAGAGAGGTGCCGTCGCTAGATATGCCGCCCCCCACACCCCTGGGTGTGTTCGGGTGCCATTTCTACATGTTACCTCCAGCCGCCGCGCAGCAAGACGCCCCAGACCCTGAACCCGAAACCTTAAACCCCGAACCCTGAACACTAAACCCAAATCCCTAAACCTTAAACCCAGGGCTTCGACAAGGGCTTCGACAAGGGCTTCGGCAAGGGCGTCATGCCGGTGGGCCCTATCGGCATGGGCGGCATGGGCATGCCAGGAAGCTGAGTGTAGATTCAGGAGTCCCTTTAAAGGGGAGTATATAGGGGTTATATAGGGAATATGTAGGGATATTTAGGGTTCAGCAGATGGGTTACGTAGGGGTTTTATAAGGGGTATGTAGGGACATATAGGGTTTAGGGTATAGGGTTTAGAGTTCAGGGTTTAGGTCTAAGGTTTATGGTTAAAGATTCAGGGGGTAGTGTTAGCGGTCGTGTTTAGGGTTAGATATTCAAGGTCACGGCTTCTCCTACTACCCCATCTACACTACCCCCTGTAAGAGACTCCCCCTTGTTGAGGGGTATTTGGGAATAGTTAGCGCTCATTCTGGCTATCAAAAAGAATAGGAGAACCAATGACGTAGGGCTGCTCTAAAGGTTTAGGGTTTAGGTGTTGAGTGTTTGGGCTTAGGGTTCGAGTGTGGAAGGGGGGGGTGGGGGTTTGATCATTTCAGCCTTCTCCTTCAAAAACGATAAACAAGCCGGTATCCCAATCGCGTGATCGTCAGCCACCACGGTCCCATGAATCAGGGGCCCCTAGACCCTATATAATTCCTATATAGCCCCTGTAAAAGCCCTATGTAATTCCTGCATATATCCCTATATAATCCCCATATAAACTCCATATGATTCCTGTAAATGTGCCTATAGAATCCTTATATAAGCCCTCAGCCCTTTAGTCCTAGGAATGGGCGGAAAAGGCAAGGACTTCGGCAAGGGCTACATGAATTACGGCAAGGGCGGCAAGGGATGGAAGGGCAAGTGATCCACTTCGCCGAGTGAGCCGAGGGGCCTAGGGCAGCGGGCATCTACGACGCATTTTGTAACCCTGAAAATACCAACTCCCTACTCCATTTCCAAAGCGAGCTAATATGAATAATGCGCAGCAGCTTAGGAAGCAAGAGCAGTTGCGACACAATTGCCACCACGGCTCAGTTCTTGAGCCTAAGTTCATGCACTGCACCCGCCTCCACGAGTAACGCGAAATTTGTCTCAAACTAAAGTCATCGTGCTTATTCGGAGGAAAATTGTATCACACGTCCCGAACCTCGGTGCGTAAGAAAGCAATTGCAATCTATACATGCTGGTGTGGAGGCGAGGTCGCACTCCTGGATGTATCAGCCGCGCAATGCGCTTAAAGTGTTTGATCCCAGGCACCGGCCAGGCAAAAAAAAGTTGCTTCGTCCGTGAGGGCGGCCTGGGAAAGGTTTAGGGTTCAGTCATGGTAGTTTCCTAAAAAAGGGAACCCTAATATAGACCCCTAAATACTATAATCCTTATTATTGGGACCCCCAAAATGGTACCCCTAATTTCAGGAAACCCCCTCATAGAGCTTTGGGGCCAAGGGAAATAAGGTTGATAGTCTAATGTTCAGGGTCACGGCTTCAGGGTCTGCCGTGATTTTGGGGGGTTCAGGCGTAGGTCATTCTCGTATTTGCATTTCTGTTTTTTGTTTCCTCCACTGCTGGCGTTGTCAGCGGCTATCATCGACGGCACCCGCTTATGATAATCTTGATCGTGTTCACCTCTCATGATTCTCTATTTTGGTCACGCTGTTGCAAGCAACATACCCCCCAACCTTTAATCAACCCGTAAATCCTGAACCCGCAACTCCCTGGGGCAAAAGCCAAGCAGTTCTAAGTCAAAACCACAGAAGGCGAAAGCAGAACCCCCACAACCCGCCTTTGGCCTCTTAACCCTTTAAACCTCTTAAACGCCCAAATCAACCCTTCACTAAATCCCAGAGCAAGAAGACCTTAAACCCAGCACCCTTCAAACCCCCTTGCAGACCAGCAAAGCCCTCAACAACAAATCAAGCCGTAATTGCGAGAAACTCGACCTCTGAACCAAGAAACGCTCCGTTTGATGACCCCCAAGATCCACAACGCATGAATCCGTGCGTTTTCTTACGCTGCTCCTGGACCCGAAAGCCCCGGCATCTTACGTGCGGCCGCTTCTTGCCGCAGCTGGACAGCTCATCTGCTGAGAGATGTTTTATCGGCGAATGGATAGAAACATGAGGTATGACACCAACAAAAACGCACAGACACAGACACAGACACACACACACACACACAAGTATTCGTAAAAGTGCATATAGTCCTTTCTTGAACTAGAGTATGCCATGCTTCACATCCGTGTGAGGTTCACCCGGCAAATTTGTGCCTCCACACTAGTGCTTCACCCAGCAGATAGCCATGTGCCATAAGAGATTGTTAGTGAACGGACCGCCACAAAAAACACGCTCGTTAACATTTTCTTTCATTCCCTACTAACCGCCAGTCAGAAGCCTTTACCTTGCAGTTGTTTCCATTTCCTTTTCCATGCCCTCATTCCCTACTAGTCACCATTAAGTCACACATACCTCAGAAAGAACCTCGGCTTGGGTTTTGGTTTAGGGGCTTGAGGCCTTGGAGTTGAGTTTTTTGGGGCTTAGGGTTTACGGTTAGGGGGTTAAGGTTTTCTTGTTGAAGGTGTATGGCCTTGGGGTTCAGGTTTAGGGTTCTAGGGTTTAGGTTTTAGGGTATCATTGCCAGGGGTTTGCAGCCACCTGCTTGCGGATGCCATGGACTCCTCTCCCGCGAGAGCTGAAGGTCACGATTCGGGGAAAAGAGGGGTGCCTCAGGGACCCGAGTATCAATCTTACCCTGGGCTAGCTAGGAATGGAGGAATGGATAACCCATTACAATAGTTTCCATGTTTTTCTCCATTCTTTCATTCCCAGCTACGTTTGGCAACAGCAGTCTGAACAGCGTGCATACCTTCTTCTAACAGACAGGAGATTCTCCACGAAATTCTTTCATGTGAGTCGTACACATGCATTCAGAACCAATCCTCGCCTGTAGTTTTGATAGGCGAGAAAAATGGGAACCCGAAACGGACAAATTCCAATCATTGTGTCCGGATTTAGAAGTGTTGCCAGAAAAAGCATCACATCATACGGGGTCGCTAGAGTCTCCTTGTCCAGTTCGGAGAAGCCTCATAGAAGGACCCCGTACAAGGCCGGATATTATACCATAGTAGTTTCCATTTTCTTTTCCATTATCCCTATATAACCCCAATATATACCCTATTACACTACAGTAGTTTCCATTTTCTTTTCCATTATCCATTTTGCTATGAAAGGGTTTTATGCCCAGGGAGAGCTCGCTGCTGCGCAGGTGCATTGCTGGAGGCTTCTAGCAGCCAGTGATGTACTAGCCTGTAGTGGTCACGGTCTCAGTTGCTATTGGCCTGCTCCTTCAGAGTAGCATAGCCTAAGACAGGGGCCTAAATAGGGTTAAGGTGTTATGCGTATAAAGAACATGCAAAATGAAATGGAAACTTGAATTATACAGCATAGGTACAGGAGACCTCGAATAGACCTCAACATAACATTGGTAGGTATTCAGGCCCCTGTCGTAACCCTAGGCACTAGGCTTGTGTGGCTCCTGCGAGCGTGCGTTCCAGTTGCGCCCACTGCTGAGAAGGTGTTACAGATGATCTCCAGAAGATCAGCAGGGGCCAGTTTAGGTATTTTGGGGACACTATCCCTTCGTAGGATTCCGTGTTCGCGGTCATCTTTCCTTCCGCCCCCATCCGCCTACCACTTTTCAGCCCGATGATGCTCCTACACTTGTTTGTGCCGCACATTCTCGACCTGAACTCTATTGAACCTCATGCAATTTGGGGGTTTCCCTAATTGAGGGACCCCAATATAAACCCCAAAACACGATATTCCTTATTCTAAGGACCTGCAGACCAGAACGGTATCCCTAATTTTTGGGGAATTGCCATTTGTATGAAGTCTAAGCCGTCTGTCCGAGGCTCGTGCAGTGCGGATAGTGCAGCCGTCGATGCGGAGGATGGGCCTGTCTTTTTTAGAAAAGTAAAATAGTTCAGGGTTCAGAGTTCAGGGTTTAGTTTAGAGTTCAGGTTTTAGAGTCTAGGTTTTGAGTCTGCTGGCAATTCAAAGCGGCCTCACCCCACCTCACCCTAAATGGTGGTTTACATAAGGAAAAGTATCAGCACGGCCTTAAATTGAGAGTTGAAATAATTCTAAATTACCCTGGGTCTAGCTAGGGCTTAGGGATATTTCCTAAATCTGTGAGAATCAAGTGGAAAGTAAGATGGAGATTGAAATGGAGACTGGGTCTGTACACGGGATTACAGGCATTATGTAGGGACCAAAATAAGGACGAATATAATTTGCAGGTTTGCCGTGAGTACAGCATGCTACAATACAAGGAACGTCGGACCATGAGATTGGTAAGTACTGAGGCTTATTGACAACTATTTAGAGTTCGACTCTACGTATTCTCTTTCTACATCCAATACAAATTCACTTTCCATTACATGTTTCATGTTCGTTTCCATTTGATTTGCTACCACAGCATCCAGCCTATGCCTTTTGAAGGAACTGTGGGCATTGCTCTTCCACCGCGATTGGCGCTGGCTGTGCGCTGATGGACCCTGCAGTTGCACGACCTACAGGCGCGGTTTGGGGATTAGGGTAGAGTTGTACAGTTTATGGTCGAGTTTCGGGCTAGGGGCTCAGGGACCCTTTGAGGGGACCATTGGGGTATGCATTAGGGAGATTTTCAATGAATAACCGGCATTCTAGGGGAATCTTTAAGGAAAATTGGGGACCCACACAGAAATACTGGTATAGTTGGAAAATACAAGAACCCAAATCTAATTACATTACCAGTCTTCCTCGTGGTCACTGTTGGTGGATGAGGGCCGCGTCAGAAAACCTTCTAATCTTGTTGTTTTTAACGCCTTTTCTTCGTACCTTGTTTCTTCTTCTTAAAAGCTTCGTAGCTATCATGATTCAACCCCCACATGAGCCAAAATCTAAACTCCTTGAAGGGGTTATAAAGGGAATTATATACGGGACTATGATCTGGCTCATTAAGGGGAATACTAGGAGTTCAGGCAATTGCTCACATGCTTAGCCCTTAAACCCTCAACTACCCTAAACTGTGCATCCGTGGGGTCAGGCAGAGCCACCGGCGACTTACAGAGAAGGTCGGAAGCTGCCGTGCAGCCTTTGTGGCGCTGGCCCTGGTGGACTCTGGGAAGACCTTGATGGGTGATTGGGTACTTCTGAGAGTAGGGATGCCTCAGGTGACCCTAAAGACTTGAAAATTGAGGGAAATGCTCCCTTGTATCCATAGGGATCATAAGCAACATGCTCCCCTCAAAAATGGCATCCGCATTATAGGTACTCGCCCAAGAAGGGAGCAAAACACCCAAGACTCAAAACCTGAGGTTTGACTGTGGGCCATGCTGGGTCACCCACGCTAGTGCGTTCCAAAGCGATGATAAGAAACCCCACTTCACATAGAGTCCCCCTTAAGTAGATAGAATATAGGGCATATGGGGATCTTTTTATAATATACCCAAAGCCATATTCTATCTACTTAAGGGGGACTATAACCCTAATCCCTAGAGACCACTGCAGTCTCCTAGTTTCCATTTCGTTTGCCGTTGTCTTTTCCGCTCGATTCTCCATTCTCGGGTTAGTCCTCAACCCTAAACCTCAAGCCCAGATAAATACAAATCGCATAGGGCAAAGGTTACACGGAAACCAGCACGAAACCTCATCAACAGCTGCTCAAAACACTTACCTACTTCAGATACAAGCTTGCTTTTGAGGGGTGCAGGTGATAGTAGGCGGTGCCTTGCAAAAACCCAGATGCCGAGTCCGCACACCCTTTGTAGATAGCTATGGTTGGGGTATAGGGTTTAGGGTTTAGGGCTTCAGGCTTCAGGTTTTATTGAGGTTTAGGGTTTTGGGTTTAGGGCTGTTTTCCATTGACTTCTTGTACCGGCTCACATCCGAATTTAAGGTGCGCCGTGCGAACCAGCCTCTATCCTTAAACACTAGACTCTAAACCCAGAACCCCAAAGCCTTAGCCCTAATTTTGTTTGGGCAGCCAGACAACCAGAAACAAGATTTCCCAAGCATTTGATTTTTGCTCCCTAGCTAGGAAGTGGTTGATTTGAATCAACCATTTTATTTCGAATTGTTGGGCTATTTTGGCAAACCCTAGGTCCTAAACCTTGCCTTTGGGTAGCTGGGATTGAAGGAATGGAAGAGAAAATGGAAACTACTACAATGGGTTACAGGATCCATTCCTTCATTCCTAGCTAACCAAAAGCAAGAAACCTTTAAGCCCTTCATCAAGGTGCTGGGCGGATGCGTGCGGAGAGCCGGAGGGCGCCATGCAGACGGAACGGTGGCTGGAATGCACCGAGAAGTTTCTGTGAAAGTAGTCCCCCTACAGGCCAGATTATTTACAGTCCACCCAACAGCAAAAGATAAGTTATGAGCATCATTGTGCTACTTATGGCCGGTTTCATTCAGGCCTAGAAACGAGGTTTTATGGTTGAGAGGGGCAAGTTTAAAAGTTTGAGGGCTTCGGGGCTTAGGAAAAATTTGCATACCCTTGAAACACAGCTGGGAGTACTGCAAGGCATTAGTTGAGTGGGGCTGAGGGGCGTAATCATGCTTCAGCTTTAACCCTACATCCCCAAAACCTGAAACCAGTGAGTTACCTTAAGCTTCGGACGCTATAGGCCCTAAGCCTTAAACCCAACCCCTGCGCACAAGTTTACCGAAATTACGACCTGTGTTCTTGCAGAAGCCCAAATAGCGAGATCCAGCAAACTAACGCTTCCAGGGTGTCGCTCAACACATTCCACTAAAGCTCTTCATGGCAGCAGCAAGCCCTTTGAACTGCGATCCCTATATACCACTGCGCCGCTCCAGGGCACCCCCATAAAGCACCCGCCGAGATCTAGCACTCCCTCTAAAAAACCTAGCATACGTTATCTCCTATGAACCTTGCGTGAGGACTTTACCTCCATAACCTTTTTAGGGAGGGTTGTCAAACTTATGATTGTCTTTTCAGGTGCCCTAAGTATTTAGTGCCGTATTGTGATCAGGACCCAAGAAGGACTACAATATACCAAAATTTTGACGGCCCCCTATTCGGAGTATTCAAGTTGTTTTTCAGAAAGGGAGAGTCTTGCAACTCTCATTTCGAGGACCCAACTTCGGTGGAAACAAATGCTTGGAGACTGGGGATTAGAATCTTCTAACATGTTTGCGGTTCCATAATATGTATGCATTGTGAACCACGAAGTACGGTGATTGCCATAACTTAGGAGGACCCCCCCACCAAGTAATAGTTTTATAATAGGAATACACGTGGACGCTAAAATATTCCCTATAATTCCTTGTACTCACCATTGGGTGGGGGTTCCACCTGAACCATAACAATCAGGTTGTTTGTTTGAGTGGACCAACCCGAGACTTCATGGACTGAGCAAGTGATGTGTTAGGTACTGCCCCCCAACCAGAAACAGTTGCACAATACTCACAGCTTCTTATAGTCACAGTAGTGCAGACCGTTACCGGGTGGGGGTAGTACCGAAGTCATACGTGATTTTACATGCACGTAGCGTTGAAGCCTTCAAGTTCCTTGCAACAGGATTTCCTGAGGCTTGTCTGCGGAGTTGTGGTGCCGCGTGGGCTTGAGTTTGAACAATATATGCATCATCTCGCTTTGCCACATTTCCTGCTTGCAGATGTTCAGCTCTTCTTTGAGGATTGGCACGGTTTCGCAAGAAGTGATATCCCAGTCGCGGAGACTGCAGGCAGAGCTGTCGTGATTCTTGTTTCTGACTCGAGGTGTTGTCCGTGTTGTCGGCCGATGATACGAAGGCACACTGTTGCGATGCTTGCTGCCGTACCGCTTCCGCTGTTGTTGCTGCTACTACAGCACAACGATAGTTACCTACTAAAGTCTGAAGAGCTAATCGACTTTTCCTGTGTCTGACGTTGAGGAGTCTGGGGCATGAGTTATTTGCGCACTTGGAAGTGTTGCCTGCATGCCGTCCTGCTTGCCAGCGTATGCTTCAACAGACAAGCCAAGATGATGCTGTCTTCTGAAAGGTCAGTTTTTTTCTTAGACTTACCAAAATCAGAAATCAGAGCCCACTCTACGTGGACATTAGGATTCCTAAATGACGGCGCACTTTGTTGATTGTTGCAGCGCATCTGGCAATTCACACAACTCTTTCATCACTCTCCAGTGATCCATCCTCATGTTCCAGCGCACATACAATTCTCACTCACCAAGCTCTGCATCTACTCTACTCTCTGCGTAAGTAAGCAACGCAGCAAACTCACAAGAGCATTTTGCCGCATGTTGCGCCACAACGGTGAGCGCGAAACGAGAAGTTTAAGTTAGCAAGAACTTCGGTTTCTCTCCCCAAAAAAGCCTTAGAGCCCCAAACCCCTGAACCTAGCACACCTCAAGCCCTCAACCTTAAACCCTACACCCTACAGCAATCCAAACCTGTAACCCTAGTTGCCCCAGTCATGTTCTCGATCTCCTGCCATGGCGGAGAAGAGAGCGATGTCAGCATCAGCGAGTCAAGCGATGATGACGCTTTGATCATTGAAGGTGCGCTGGGACACCCTAAGCCAACAAAAAACTCAAGCCCCAAATCCTATACCCCGAACCTGTAGCACGCTTATGTCTGCTTTGTTTCTTCTAGTTTTCTCGCATTCCAATGACGCTCAGCATCATACTCAACACTGAATCAGAGCCTTGAAGCCATAAGGTCTACTCTCCCCCACACATACCTGGAAGATTACGTGACCTCCTTGTGCAAGGGCGCCAGTCTTTGTAGAGCCCCCTTTCTATAGAGGGGACGCATTGCTAGTTTGGTAGAGTGTCAATCTTTGCTCCCATGTCAATGGCGCCATCTGAGTTACAGTCAAGCTTAGGCAAGGGACTGTGAAGGGTGGACATAGGAGCCCCTTGGTACCCTAGCATAGTCTAGTCCTTGATGTATTCCCCATTAGGAACCCATGGCCATTCATATGAGCCATTATATAGGGGAGCATTATAGGGCTTATTCAGGGGCATACTAGGAGTTTAGACAGTGGCTCATATGTGGGCCAGTATTTACAGTCGCCTCGTATCCTCTTCCTTCAGGCACCCGTCAACCCCACTTTCAACGGGACCTGGATAGATTGCTGTCCTTGTGTGACAAGAGGCTATATTGTATGGGATTCCATGTAAGTTTGGGGAAGGGTAACGCCCAAACTTTGAACCCTAAGCCTTAATCCTTAAGTCGCACTTATACCGTACCCCTATCATCTCTTTAAAGAGTCTCTAAGCCTAAGCAAGGGTCACAGCTCATTCTCGTTTTGACATACCCTAAACCCTGAATCTTTGCGCTCCCACGTCAGCTGTCGACGGCTCGGCGGGGCAGAATGCATTGGCCATACCCGAAGCCACAGCCCACTTTGATATCAGCGAGGGACTTGGTTCAGCAGGGCCATGTGACGTGGTTTAAGGTTCAGGCTTCTGGGGTTTAGGGCTTAGGTTTACTAGGCTTGTTGAGGCTCAGGGCATGGGGTTTAGGATTAGGGTCTAGGGTATACGTGAGCCATACGTACTTACTTGGCTTCGAAAGGGATGCTGCAGATGTGCGAGGGGAATTTCGGGGTCATGCCTCGGTCAAAGTTAAACAGCCATAACCCCAGACCCTAAACCCTAAACCTTAGGAGTATACAGGGATGATATTCAATTATTATGTATTCTGTATTCCCTAATAACCCACCAAAGTTGAAAATTATGGACCAGCTTTATCCAATTAAACCCCCAAAAGAATCTTCAACAACTTTGGGCTTTCGAGCGTGCTTTGCAAAAACCTTATTGGGCTACACCCTCAATCCTAAACCCTAAACCCTAAGCCGTGAACCCTAAACCCTAAACCTTAAACCCTGAACCATAAGCCCTATATATATCCTTAACCCTAAACCCTGGCTTCCGAACCTTACTTCCTAACCCGTAGGGGTTGAATGGGTCGAAGGTTAGGGGCTGACACGCGGTGTAGGGTTTAGGGTTTAGGGTGGCTGAACCCCAGCCCGAAAATTAGGACCCTATTATGGCCAAGTGATAGGGTTTAGGGTTGATAACTATACGGTCCGAATTTTGGGTTGGGTTTGATTTTGTGCCAAAGATTGCCCCGCGTGCCTTCCCTGGGCCTGACTTGAGTGAGGGTCAATGCTTTCATCCAAGCTGCTGACCAACGACATGTCAATTGCAGAATGCCACCTCAGTTATACCTATAATATACTTTGATATACTATAACGATACAGGTTTCCATTTTCTTTTCCATGATCCCTATCAATAACCCCAATATACTATAAGGTTGATACCTGGTAACTTCTGAGCAGTTTCAGCAGTCTCCCACGGAGAATGCCTTTGGATTTTCTCTGTCTGACTATAAGCCTCCAAACCATGCAGGTCTCCGTCAGAACAGGGCCCTTAGAGGGCATAAAATCGCTTCACATAAACAACAGCCACGTGTGTGTCCCCAAACTGTTCCAGCCCGAGCCGTATGACAAGCTCTACATAGTCGTTGAGAAATCTTAAGTGAGACCCGAATTCCTACATCATTAGCCCCCAGCCTCAAAGACTAACGCCTTGGAACCAAAAAAACCTTAAGCCCCAAACCCTCGAGCCATAAAAACCTATACCCCAACCATCCTACAAACTTAGAACTCTAAAGCCTAAAGCCCCTAAACCTCAAGCCCCAAACCCATACGTCCCGACCCTACTCATAAACGCTAAAACCCTAAAACTAGGTAGGAAATCATTCAAACTACGACCAGGTCATAACCTATATCCACCTCATATACTTACCATTACATACAAAATACAACTGTTTCGTACTTTGCCTACCAATTTGTAAGCCCTCCCAGGCGGGGCGGACGTGAAGCCCGGCAACCCGGAGAAGTGGAAGGATCTTCGGAGGATCCTGCTGCCCGGAGTGTCTCGCCTAATAGGGTTTAGGGTTCAGGGTTCAGGGTTTAGGGTCAAAAATTGGAGGGGTGGTGTGGGTTGTACAGGGAGTACATAGGAGTGAGGGATCGCACCCGAATAATGGAGAAAGGTAGAGATGTAGGATTGAGCGTTTAGAGAGCTAATGGCGAATCAAATGGAGAAGGTCGAACATGGAATCGAAACTGTGACCACATAGGGGTTTCTGGGTAGAAGCCTGCATACTTACTAGTATTTGGGTTCTAGATGCTAGATTCCTTGTGTAATTTTGCTAAAGTGTACTTCAAAAAAACCACAAACAGAAGAGTTGGGATGCTTCAGCCTTCCGCTTTGCAGCAAGTGGTTGTTGAGGGCTTCGGGCTTGGGATTTGGGCCTAGGCTTCATATATATATATATACTT